GATGGATTGATTTGGTGGCTGCTGCAATGTGTTCTAGTGTGTCAGGAGGTGTGAAAATGGCACAGGGCAGGACAGGACATGGTTCCGATTGTTTGTTCATAGGCTCACTATGGGTCGAGCTCCATTCAAAAGCACTTCACCACCACCACTGATAGGGTGGTATTAATAAGTTCAGAATTGTCTATATATGTATCAGTTATAAAACTATAGTTACATAGTTATAAAACTAACATCAGTTTTCTTCAGCCTGCAAAACTATTTACTTAGCTCCGAATTAGAATTCTCTGTTTCCTTTTTTTAGTCATATAGTTTAATGTGTCTGTTTACCAGGAGAGGAAATGCATCTATCCTAGATCTCTGGTGAGGCTGGTTCTCCAGTCACATGTAAATTGTATTTTTTTATTTATTTTTTTAATTATTATTAAATTTTATTCGTTTTAATGAACATTTACAGAGATTTTGGGTTCTCATTCATTCATTGTTGCACTGTTTTCTCTACCCTCCTCCCCAGTTCGTTCTTCTTCCCCTGCCCCCGAATGTCTGTTTTAATTGTCCAATTGCCACAGTGCTTGTCAAAGCCAGTTCTGATTAATCTCCTTTGTCAGTGTGTCCTTTGCCATTCCCTATCACTCCTCCCTGAGAGAAACTTCACCCTGATTCATAAGGAAAAGGGGATGGCATATTCTCTTAGCTACTTCCTGCTGAAAAGGGACGCTGTGGGTTTCAGGGTGGAGATCTTCTCTCACTATAAATTGTATTTTAATCTGCCTGTTTACCAGGAAGAGGACTGTAGCCTTCCTGAATTACTGATAGGTAAATGGAAACTGTTCTCTTCAGATGTAGAAATAAATTACTTATTATACTAACAAAAGTGCATTGTGAAATGAGCTAGTGTTTCACCCTAGTATATAAGCCCATGACCACTCCCAGACGAGGAGGAAGTCTTGGAGGTGACTGCTGTCTCCCGGATCTGTGTAATAAAGTGCTTATGGATATGGCAGTCCGTTTGTCTTATTGGCGATTGACTATGGAAAGAACCCCTTGCATTCAGTAACACCACCACCACCTTTCCAAGCATCATCTCCCTCTACAAGGAATAAGCTCTCCTAACAGCTAGCCTCAAGTAATTGTGCAACAATTAATACATTTTTTTTAAAAAAAAAAGTGAAATGGGGAGGAAAGAGAGAGAGGGAAGGGGTAAAATGTGCAACAATGAACAAATGAAAATCTAACTTCTCTATAAATGTTCATTAAAATCATAATTAAAATAAAATTGTATTAAAAAAAAGTATGTGGGACAAAGCTTAGTCATCTTTGACTAAGCCTGTAACCACTTCAGTTACTATAAGTCAAGAAAAGGTGGGTTTTTTCTAGCATACTTTAGAAAAGAAAAAAGGTAGATAACTTTTCTTGAGTTTTAGTAACTGGGGTGGTTACTGGGCTTTTCTCTACATCACTTTCAAGGAGCACTCCAGCTGCACTTTCTCTAAGACATATCTGTTTGTTCTCTTGGCAGTTCTTGGGATGTTCAGTACACTTCTCAAACACTCCAGCTCAAAGGCATCAATAAAACAGCATTTGGCCATGACTGGTCAAACTCAGAGGAAGTGATTTTCATAAAAGCTCTGTTGTTACATATCCTTGAGTCAGATGATGGCAAAAAGAGCTCAGACAGCCCCGAAGTGTAACACAGTAGTGAAAGTTGCCTGTGTTAGGTCCTTTAACCTGATCATTCATAGTTTATAAGTTTAAGACAATAGTAAAAGTTGTATACATAAAGTCTTTTGATGTGATTACTCAGACACAGTTTATAAATTTAAAACAAGGTACCTGCGTGAGGTCCTTTAACCTAATTGATTAGCTTAGCTGGGAGAGTGCGAATCAAGGAGCTAAGAATCTGCAGTCAGGTGACCTGACTCAAAAGACTCCAAGAAAGCCTGAGAACTACCTACTTTGAGCATCAGGCACAGGGTAGACATCATGGAACAAACCACCCAATCAGACCTCTTCTCCCCCAGACCCCTTCTATTTGCCTTCCTTGCTCCCTTTGGGTTGTGGTGCTGAAGGCCAGTATGGGAAGCCAATACTAAATATTTGTAATAAACTGAATGCTATTTCAGGATGTGGGGGAGGCTCGGTACAAACTGGAGTTCATCCTGAGGCACTAAGGCAATCCTTAAGGGTTTACCGGATTCTTGCACTGTATTTGCTGACCCCTCCCTCCTGAGTCAAGTGGAAGGTTACATTGAAGCTGGACATCAAGAAGACAGATTCTCAACACTGGGTCAATTGGCAGCACTATGATGAATGGAGACGAGATTGAGGTTATTAACAATTACAGCTTGCCCAGTTCCACAATCAACATTGTTTGCACCAGTAGTCAGGAAACCAAAAGATGAATTGTATTAGACAAATCTGCTGTCAGGGACCTTTACAGAATACTTATAATCAAGGATATCAGTCTAGAGACTAAGGTGTGCCTGATCCAGTCCATGGTCTTCACAATTACTTGCTTATGCATTGGAGAGCTGGATAATGACTAAGGATGACGGAAGAAGAATTGATGCCTTTGAGTTGTGGTGCAGGAGAAGAGTCTTGAATATACCATGGATCGCCAAGAAAACAAACAGATCTGCCTTGGAGAGAGTGAAACCAAGTTTCACCTTGGAGGCTAGGATTTTGAAGCTCTGTCTTACATACTTTGGGCATATGACCAGGAAGGAGGGACCAGTCTTTGGAGAAGGGCATTATGCTTAGAAGGGTGGAGGAGGGACAGCACAGGAGATGGAGACCCTGGTTGAAATACAGTGACAATGGCAACAGGTGTATTGGAGTTAGTGAGACTAGCTAAGGACAAGGCAGGCTTCAGAGTTATTGTATATAGGGTCACTATGCATTACAGGGACTCGATGGTACATAACAAAAACAAGGACTTCATCCCCTGTTAACACATAGGTACAGAGTTCAAATCCACTAGCTGCTGCATGCAGAGGAAGATGCAAACTCTTCTCCCATATGATTTACTTCTTCTGAAAATCCCTTGAAGGCTCAGCTATGGGTCAGTTCCCACTCAACGGTCCACAGCAACTGCAACAAAGTCCCCCCCCCCCATGTTGTGCCCTAACATTGAAGGCCATGGAAATTGTTCCACAGTGTATTCAGCTGCTAACCCAACCGGAGTAATTAAAACACTACCAGGCAGCTTGAGTAAAGAGTGTTACAACGTGGGTAACCTCATTTTGTTGTTAGGTGCTGTTCAGTTGGCTAGGACTCACGGCAAGCTTATGAACAACAGATCAGAACCTCGACCTGTCACGTATCATCTCCAAATGTCCATCTGTTCATTCAAGCCTATTTAGTGTTGCCCTTGATAGAAGAGTTTTGGTCTTTCATTTAGTAATAAACTTTCCCCATGTGTTTCCAATTAAGTCACTAACATTGTTGAAAAGGGTCAAATGATTCCAATTAAGAATGAGTCTAAGAACTCTAACCACATTAAGGAAAGAATCAGTCCCGGAAAGGGATCTTTTTCCAGATCTGCTACCTAGTTGTACCCTGCCTCAGTGTTTGGCTACAAAGGCTGGTTGCTGGTCCATTCGTTCAGTTATACAGTCACCCTGTCAATGCATCTCCTTAAAGGTGACTATCTTTCCCACTACAACGTCTTTTTTTAAAATGTGGGGCAGTTTTGTCTTACTAGGTAGTGTTTGAGTGTAAAGCAGTCACACGTGAGCAGAAATAGCTGTTGAATTTTAAGCTGTTTCTGAAATCCTAGGGCCGATTCAAATAGCCAAATTAGCTGACTCCTCCATGATGTTGTCAGATGCCTAACAATTCATAGTGATCTTATCAACAGCCACTGTGAACCCTGCCCTATCCTGTGCCATCTTCATCATCTCTGGGACACTAGAGTCCACTGCTGAAGTCACAGTGTCGTCCATCTCCTCGGGGTCTGTAAATTCTATTAATTTTCTTCAACCCAACTATCAAAGCCCTTTATTATGCACATAGAATATTTGCATCTTAAAAGCAAGTTTATGGTCTATTTTGTTTTCATTTCCATTTCTAAAGAAACTTACTTGATTCCCACTGTGTATTTATTTCTTCCTCGATTATCTTGAATACTTTTTGCTCGGATAAGATGAAGACAGGGTTTGTTACTCATAACAAAGTATTTCTCACCTAAGAAAACAGGAAGCAAAATGTATGAACACCCCCTTTTGCACCTTGATGTAAACGGAACTTCAAAAGAGTAACTTGTACACATCTTTCCATAAAATGTAGAAGAATCGGGATTGGCTGCCCTGGCAGCTGTCCGATTCTCCCACCTTTTGTCTTTTTCTACAGTATGCTGGAATAAACTACCTTTCTGAACGTTTAGTAACTGCGGGGCTTGGTGGTTTCCCCTCTACACTGGTAGTTTGAATCAGCATGGATTCAATGACAGCAAGTTTGACCTATGTATTTGGGGAAAGTTGAGGCTTCTTTTAAATGTTCATTGATAAAAACAAACCAGGAAAGCATCACTATATATTGTCCTGGCACTTTATTACTAGACTGTAGGACTTCTTAATGTGATTGGCTAAAACACCTGCCCGTTAACATTCCAAAATGGAGGGGGGGAAGTCTTAAATATCGCTATTTTATTGGCTCCGGTAGCAATTTACAGCTAAGACCGTGGGCCACTTGAAATTTTTGATTGGTTCTTATGTCCCTCAATCATGCATACGGCTACCACTATCCAATAGCTTTATTCGTCCCGAGGCCGACCTGTCTGATTGGCTGAACACGTCTAAGGCGGAAAGATTTTCATTGGGTCGCATCGTCCTCGCTCCCGGCTCAGGCCCACCTCCCCGCTCGGTTGCCGTGGTTGCCCGTCGGGGCTCCGCCCGCCCGCTCGCTCGCACGCTCGCAGACCTTAAAGCTCCGGGTGGAGGCTAGTGGGTCGGTGGGTTGTCCGGGAACGAGGGTGGGGGTTCGAGTCCCGCGCTGAGTCCGCCATGGCGGCCGCCGCCGAGGGCGCCGAGGAGCAGCAGCTCTTGGCCCGGTCGTGCCCCGAGGACGGACACCGGGCGGCGCCGGAGCCCTGGAAGAGCCCCAGACTTGTGTTGGGCTTCTCGAGCTTCGAGCCGCCGCTCGGCAGCGGTGCGGGCCTCCCGATGCGGCCGTCCGCCGCGGGGTGCATGCGCATGGTCTGGGAGGACCAACAGCAGACCCGCCACGAGCTGCGCTGCAAGCTCCTGGCCTCTCGGCTGAGACGCGCCGCCAGGCCCCACCGCCGCCTCGGGCCCACCGGCAGGGAGGTACTCGGTGAGTGTCGGCGGGCCGGCCAGCTAGCCTGGGGTCACGGGCCCGCCAGGATGGGCGTCCTACCCTGCGATTACCCGCCTCCTGCTCCAAACACGCTGGAGGCTCAGCTACGGGCCTGTTGTGACTCGACGGTATGAAAACACCAGTACAAGAGGGAGAACCCAGACCCCGAGCTAAGAACTCAGAGTGGCCCTGGATCACCCCTTTAATCAATGATAACTAACATGACACCAATATTAGCCTTAACGCCCGTGTTCGTTAGTATTGGGGCTAGTGGTAAAAAGCTGCGCTGCAATCCTAAAGGCTCGAGGTTCAAATCCACCGGCTGCTTTCCTGGAGAAGGATGGACAGTTTCCTCCCGTGCAGTTTACTGTCAGTGAAAATTTCCCGGAGGGACAGTCAAGGTTAAATATAAAACGGGGGGGAAAAAAAAAATAAAACGAGAAAAGAGGCACCGAAACGGAAACTACCTTATCAGAAGCAGCAACCCTGGACGTCTCCCATTTGGTAATTGGAAGCGCTTCTCGGGCCCAGGGTCCCGACAAGTTGATTCTTTTTTGTTGTTTGTGCTGTTGTTGTGCACCGTCGAGTCGGATCCGACTGGCACAGGAGGAGATTGCCCTTCTTTTCTCCAGCAGAGCATCTGGTGGGTTCGAACCGTGGACCTTCGGGATTGCAGCGCAGCTTCTTGCTCTAGGCCACCAGACCCCCTTGATTTCTTGGCCTCAGGTGAGGGAATGCTTCTCTAAGACTACCTGAGAGCCCTTTAGGGGAGCACATCGCCACACCTTTCTTCCGCGGAGCTGTTGCAGGTGACTTCAAACCACCAGTCTTTAGTTTAGCCCGCTGCCCGTTTCTTAACTGTCATCACCACCAACTTTTGGTGTGTTTGTTGTGTGCATTGAAGCTGAAACCAGCCCAAATGGAACTGCTCCCGGTTTCTAAGGATGTTATTTTTTACGTGGGTGGCTGGTGGGTTCGAACCACAGGCCTTTCCATTATCAGACACTCATTAGGGCTTCTTAGGTGTTTAAGTTTGTGGAAAGGGATGCTGGAAAAAGCTTTTCTCTTGGAGCAGGCCGGGCCTTACAGCCACGTTCTATTTAAATCCACTGATTTACACTGGTAATTAGGTAATTTACACTGGTATTAGGCAAACTGTGGATGCTTTGACCTTAATTTTATTTCCCTAGTGGGTGAGGTGTTTGTTTTCTTGGTGTTGATCCACACAAATGGTGTGTTTTTCATCTTTATTAAGTGAACAATAATAGCTATATTGACATAAATTGCACTGCTGCTCAAAGGCTGTACAACCACCAGGGACTCCGGACCTTTATTTTCTTATCTGTGGAATGGGTACAGAGCCTGCCTTCAGGGCTGTAGCACATTAGGTAATCCTGCCTTTGTTTGCCCCACACTGTAAAACAAGGCTGCATTGCCACAAGGTATGAGAGTGGGCGCTCAAGAACACCTTGAGCTCCTTATTGTTCCCCCGTTTGCTGAATAGGAAACTGAGGCTCAGGGAAATTGTCTTGATTCTAAAAAGTGGCTCTTCTGGTATTAGAACCTAGGTTGGCTAGACTCTCAAAATCCAGCTTTTATGTAATCCACTATTTCACATTTTCTAGATAGCAAGCACTTGTTGCAGAAGGTCTAGGAATGCAGCCTTCAGTATGGCTTTTGTCTCAATATCAACACAACGAAAGATTCTTCCCGCTGGACCAATAGGCAGTGTTCTGGATGGAGAGGAGATTGAAACTGTCTTCAGCTTCATCTTGCTTGGATCCACAATTAACACCTTTGGTACAAGCAGTCAGGAAATAAGGAAATGCATTGCACTGGGAAAATCTGCAGTTAGGGACCTTTCTAAGTTATTGAGGAGTAATGATGTCAGTTTGAGAACTAAGTTGCGTCTGATTCAGGCCAGGGTCTTTCTGATGACTAGCTATGCGTCTGAGACCTGGACAATAAGGATGACAGAAAAAGAATTGGCACCTTTTGAGCTGTGGTGTTGGAGAAAAGCACTGAACATTCCATGGACAGCCAAGAGAACGAATAGATAGGTCTTGGAGAGGGTGCAGCCAGAGTGCTCTTTGGAGGCAAGAATGATAAGGCTTCTCCTGCCTTACTTTGGACATATTGCAAGCAGAGGCTTTTAGGCTTTTCCTTGGAGAAGGACATGATGTTGGGAAGGGTACAAGGTCTGCGAAGGAGATGAAGACCTTCTACCAGGTGGATTGACACAGTGACTGCTGCAATGGGCTCTTGTGTGTCAGGAAGTGTGAGGATGGCTCAGGACAGAACAGGGTTCAGACCTGTTGTTCATGAGGTCGCTATGAGTCGTACTCAGTGACACCTAACAACAATATGGAAATTAAGGCCTTGAAGGATTTGTTATGTTGACATTCAAGAGTCCTGTGTAGCATCACAAGGGTATTGTGAGATTAAAGGAGAGTCTGAAAGTGCTGGGTAAACCATAAAGTATTACAGGAATGTCAGTATTCATTACATATCTTTACCGTAATTTGTGTTCATTTCTCTGATGGCAAAAACTTTTTTTTTTTTTTTAAATGTGAAGAGTTTATGCTTAGGGGAAAAAACTGCTTGCTTAGGCGTTACCAGAGGGAGCTCTGGCCTAGGGGTAAGAAGCTGTACTACAGTCGTAAAGGCAGGAGGTTCAAATCCACCAGTTGGTCCCTGGGGTGGGGGGAGGATGGGCAGTCTCCTCCCCTGAGATTTATTTCCTCTGAAAACCCCCCTGGAGGATCAGCTGTGAGTCAGTTTCTGATTGAAAGTCCGCAAGGCCTGTACTTTTTTAACATCAAGAAAACAAACACCTCCTCACTGGAACAATAAGTAACATAGTAGTGAAGAAAAGATTGAAATTGTCAATGATTTCATTTTACTTGAATCCACCACTCACATCTTTTCTTTCAGCAGTCATGAGATCAGGAGGGTTATTGCATCAAGCAAGCCTGCTGGCAGGGACCTCTCAACATTGTTGAGGAGCAGTGTTGGTTTGAAGACAGGGTGCGCCTGATTCAGGCCGGAATCCTTTCCATAACTTGGCATACATCTGAGAGCTGGGCAGTGAATAAGGATGACAGAGGAAGAATCGATGCCTTTGAGCTGTGGTGTCACTGAGTCATACAGCACATAACAACAACGGATAAATCTTGAGCTCTGGTGGTTTGCTGTTATGTGCTGTCTGTCGCCCTAGTGCAAAGCAGCTCGAACCCTGCTCTATCCTGAGCCAATCTCACTGCCTTTTAACATACCTACCATCATTACCCCACTGACTGTGTCAATCCATCTCTGGGGTCTTCCTCTCCAGTGTTATTCCTCCACCTTTCCAAGGATGGAACTGACTCTAGGGACTTAGGCCTTTTAGGAACATGCCCTAAGCATGTGAGACAGAGCCTCAGAATCCTTGGCTGCAAGGAATAGATCCATAACACAGCTTTTGCACATTGACAGCAGTTCCAGTAATTGGCTGTGTTACCCTACACCCTTAACATGATTTCTCCTCTTGTCAAAAGGGAGATGGAGCAGTAAGTGTGTGACTTTGTGACTGGCAGATTCACATGGCCAAAATTTCTGTGTAAATAATTTCGTTCTTGCGACAGTTCTAGGCTGGGCAGGATGGTGGACCCAAGCCCTGAAGGAGGCCAACAAGCTTAAGTCAAGGTCACGTAGCTCCTACAGGTAGCTAGCTGTGGCTCCCATGACCTTGGAGAATTGGCTGCAGAATTTCGGGCTTCTCTTTGTTCCCAGGGTAGAACTGGTCTTGTGTCTTAGCATCTTTTCTCTGCCTGTGGATGTTCTGGCTGAAACCTGTGTTCATTAGGAAACCATCTACTTGGTGATTCATCATAGCCTTTTTCCCCCTTTTTTAAATTGGCCTTCTTCCTCTCTTTACAGATCAAAGGAGACTGAGGGACTCTGCCAACGCCAATGACGTGGATACGGGTAAGTGTGCATCATAGGTCCAGCTCCGGGGGTTTACGGCTGGTCAAGGGATGAGTAATTGAGGTGACTAGACGAGGACCTAGGAAAGAAATGGACTTTTTGGGGTTTTTTTTTGAGGAAAGATGTACAAATCACGTTGTGATACACAGACATGACTGCAGCAATGGGCTCAAGTGTGGCAGGAATGATGAGGATGGCACAGGATAGGACAGGGTTCAGGTCTCTTATTCACAGGGCCATTAAGCGTTGTGCTCCGTGGTTTGAATCCACCAGATGCTCCGCTGGAGGAAGGACAGTCCCCTCCTGTGCCAGTCAGATCAGATTCAAGGGCACACAACAAGTGAAGAAAGTGTACTCAACTCAGAAACATTAACTGCCATTGACTAATTGCAGGTTTTAAAATTTTTGTCAGCTGTTTGTTTTTTTTTTCTTTCCTTTCCCAACAGATTTATTCTCTTACGATTTAGGAGGCTAGAAGTCCAAGTTAGCGTTGCCAGCGCTAGGGACCTCTTGTTTCTCACTCAGAAAGTTCTTGTTTCCAAAAATCATGGGAAAGTAATCAACTACTTTCCCTGCCTGATGTGAGAAATGACCACCAATATAAGGCCTTGAAACAGAATGCATTTATTGTTTTGTAGTTCTACACATCAGAAGCCCAGCACAGAACTCACTGGGCTTAAATCAAGGTGTTGGCAGAGATGCACCCCTTTTCCAGAAGCTTTTGGGGAGAATCTTTCTGTCTTTCCAGCTTCTAGAGGCTGCCTTGGCCCCCAAACCCTGCCCTTTGCTTTATCTTCAGAGCCGGCAGTGGTTCATGCCACCCTCTCCTACCTGGCAGCTGGGAGAAGGTCTCCCAGATGGAGTTAGAGCAGTTAGATTAATTAGGCCCACCTGGGCAGGCCCTGAGAAACTTCTCGTCTGCCGATTCTTAGCCTTGATCATATCTGCAAAGTCCTTCGCCATGAGCATAGTCACAGGTCTGATGGCTTAGGGGTGAGGAATTGCACTGCCAACCCGAAGGTGGTGGTGGTGGTTATAAGCCATCGAGTTGCTTGGGACTCATAGCAACCCTGTGTTCGAAGAGCCCTAAACGCTGTTCTATCCTGGGCCAACCTCGCCGTCTCCAACACACTCATTCCCATCACTCCACTCACAGAATCGATCCATCTCACCAAGGGTCTTCCTCTCCTGCGCCACCCCTCCACTCTCCCGAACATGCTGTCCCTCTCCAAGGACTAGTCCCTCCTTGCAACATGCCCAAAGTATGTCAGACAAAGCTTCAGAATCCTTGACTCTAGCTACTCCTCAGGAGAAAGATTTACCACCTCTGAAAACCCGCTGAAGGGTCAGTACTTTATGGTACACAACAACAACAACAACAATCAGAGGTTCCAGAGATGAGGGGTTAGATAGAAAAAGAGCTGGAGAAGAGAAGCAGCAGCTGGTTCCAGGTACTGAACAGGCCTTGGTTAAGTGGGCTCAGAGGGACAGCAGGTGGCCTCACGTAGAGATCAGAATGGCCTGCGGGCAGACGAAGGTGAGTCCTTCTATGGGGCCTGTTAAGGAGATTGAGAAGGAGTGGTAGTTTGCTGGAGAAGTTGGGGGTCAGGAGGGTCTTATCAGCATGTATGTGATCAGGCCGTGATAGTCGGGAGGCCTTATAAGGATACAGTCAAGCTTCATCAAGGTACATTCAGGTTTGGGGTTGGCGGGACTTGCACTATCCCTCCATTAAATGTGGTCATCTCTGGGGGCCATTCTGTCTGGCACAAGTGAAGAACGATGATGTTTTTATGTGGGATGTGAGTGGTCAGCAGCTAAGGGGAGCATGGCTGACCACATACAGGGAGTATGGGGAGTGGTCGGCTGCCTTCAAAATGACTCCCCATTTGTGATATGGCAGCAGTGAACAAGCCTAGAAGCAAGAATTGTTCCACTCTTAACTCTGTTGCCTTTGGCTTTAATACTTTGCAGTATTGAGGAGGCAACCTGGTAGTCTTTCAAGAAAAAAAAAATAAAATTTTTAAGGAAAAGTATATTTTGTTAGGTCTTCGCACTGGATGTAAGGCCAAGGACCGGACCAGAGAGAGAAAGGAAGCTAAATAAGCTTTATTAAGGGGTCTCCCGGGCGGGATTCCTTGGTCTGCAGAGAAAGAGAGAAGCAGAGAGCCAAACCAGGGTATGCCACACTCCATGGTGAATTTGGGCAGGTTTTATAGTGAGGGTCTTTGGGAAGGACCTCCCATTGTGGCTTAAGGAGGGAAGGGTGGGGCACTCCACTTAGTTTAATCAGATGAGGAATGCTGTTCACTCTCTTTGACATGTTGACATTCCTTGAATCCTTTGTTCTCCCTTTGACCTTGGTGGTCCCATCCTGACATTTTATTAGGAAAAAAAAGACCTTTTTAATCTTTATTTCTTCCCTGTTGTGGTAAACACACGCACAGGTAACATAAACTAATCCAATAACTTCACCATTAGTTCAGGGACACTGGTTACAGTCATCATATTAAGGAACTGCTCTCACTGCCCTTCCCTTAAGTTTTGGAAGCAGGAGTGGCATCCACTTCCTAAACAACTTGCCTCTGGACACTATGAACTTTGATAATAGTTATAGAAAGGCTTCAAGCCTTTGGTTCATAGGGTCGCTATAGTTGCGCTGGACTTAACAGCAATCAGCAGTAACACCCTCTAAGTAAAAACTCCATTTCCCCTCCTTCCACTCCTAATCTTTATTTTCTGTGTCAGCTTATTTCATATTGTAGCCACGCTACTCCTAAATGTGGAGCATGTCAGCAGTGCATTCCTTGAGTTTGAGTTAAGAAAGGACAGCAAAACAGGAATCCATACCTTTCAATGTTAAGTGCCATTGAGTCCTATGAGACTCATAACGACCCTTTGAATGAAAGTCCTCGACCCTTGTGTGACTTTTGTCCTTTCTCCAGGTTCATAGCGTTTCCGGAGGCAAGCTCTTTATGGAAGTGGTTGCCACTCCTACTTCCAAGCTTGTTTTAACCGGGGAACCCCACCAAACACTGTCCGCCGTGGGTAACCATTAACATATTTGTCACATCAGTGTCACACTGTTCAGCTTCATTCACAGTGGCCACAACTTACCTCTGTATGTCAAGTGGACACACCAGGGCTATATGACCTACAATATTGCATATTGTAGCCACGCTACCCCTTAAACGTGGAGCAAGCGTGTCAGCCAGTGCTCCTGAGTTTGAGTTAAGAAAGGATATCAAAACAGGAATCCATACCTTTCTATATAAGCAAAAAAAAGGTTTCTTAAGGAAAATATGAGTTGTGGTGCTGGAGAAGAGTGTTGAATATACCATGGACTGCTAAGAGAACGAAAAGGTTCATCCGAGAGGGTGAAGCCTAGCTGCTCCTTGGAGGCAAGGATTCTGAAGCTTCATCTGACGTAGTTTGGACATATTGCAAGGAGGGAGAGTCCCTGGAGAGGGACACCTCCAGAGAGGGAGACCCTTAATGAGATGGGTTGACTCATTGACTGGGGTAATGGGATTGGTGTGTCAGACAGTAAGGTTAGCTCAGGATAGAGCAGAGTTCCAAGCTGTTGTATATAGGGTCTTATATGAGCTGCAAGGATATAACAACATTTTGCAGAGGAAGAAGGTGTGGAGGAAAAAGGCCCTTACTCTACGAATAGAGAAAAGTGGTTCTTTTTGATGCTCTGGAGGAGGGGAAGGCTATTGCTTCGAGATGGGGCTGCCAGGATGGCCTCTGCATCCTGTGTGTGGAGGACATGCGTGATGTCCCCATGACAGGATATCCATGACTTAGCAAGTCTGAGGAATGGTGGCCCTCTCCAGGTGAGACCCTTGCTCACCAAGGAGTTGGCACTTTGAAGACTTCTGCTGTCTAGGTCAATCCATGACTCCTGAAAGCTCTTGGCAGAAGTCAAGGTTGTGAAGAGGCAGCACCTGAAGGGGCCTTGTTGTTAGGGGCCCTGGAGCGCAGGAGTGCGCTGTGACTCAGCGATCCTGTGAACAGATCTGAACCTTGCCCTATCCTGCCACATCCTCTCCTGTACCAGAGCCACTGTCGTAGTCTTCCCTCTGCCTTTCCCAGCCTGATGATGGCTGGGTGCCTTGGCTGCTCCTTGAGGGTGCGTTCTTGGGTCACGTGAAGCCTGCATTCTCTGAGCTGAACCTGGTCAGAAGATAGTAACTTCATTCAGTACCTCAAATATAGGGAAAGGAGACCAGAAAATAAGGGATCTGTGATTCAGAGCAAACCTGGCAGCCCTTCAGTTTTCCTTATTCATTGAAAACACAGTCTTTAACACAGGATAAGAGGACCCTTTTGTTATGTTGTTAATAAAGGGCTTGACAGTCTGCTGTAGATTTGCTGGGTAAACAGCCCCACTTCCCTCCAAGTCCTTCTAGACTCAGGGACACTACTTTCTTTTTAAAATGTTATTGAAGAATCTTGGTCTTCTGTTGCTTCCTTGCCTGTCAGTCTAAATGACTGTACAGTGTCGGTTCTGGTGCCTGGTGTGGCCTTCCCCGAGGCTCGTCCCTTGGTGACCAGGCTCAAGCCGCCTCAGTCCCTGTCAGTGGTGGAGTGAATTCTTTGTTTGCTTCAGCATCTCCTGTGTATGGACCATGTCGGCTCCTGTCAGTGGACCCTTCTGTTTTGAGTTTCACCTTCCGTAGAAAGTCTGGTACATCTTGTATTGGTTGTTCATACAGTAGTTTATATTGTTTCAATAGAAATGCTGTCTTTTTCCATTCAGAGCTGCTGACACAGCCACCTCCAGGCTCCCACAGTGCCCCTAGAGCTTGGTGGCCTCTCCTTCAGCTTGGCTACCATTGTTTTCTCTCTGCGTGGTTTTGGGGGGTTTTTTTGGTTGAATTCTTTTTGCTTTGAGTGAAAAAGTTTATAAATCTTTTTTATTCATTCATACATATTTTATTGTATTGATTATAATTAATGTAATTACAGTGTCTCATTTTGCTTTTTATATTAAA